CACGATGTATCTCGCTGCATTACGCGAGTACGCTTCTAGTATACATAAATATCTGTTGTAAACCTATTTTTTAAAACTATTTTACAATTATTGTCTTATCTGTTGCTTATAAGAGAGCTATATAGTCAGTGTTTTTTTTATGGAAAAATGTTATTTATGACTTGATTCCCATATAAAAAAAAGCATTGGCATGTTTAAAATTAAAAACATGCATTTAAGTATTTACCTTAAATATAATTATGTTTTATTACGAAACAATTTTTTAACATATTATTCATATACACTTTTTTAAAATATTTTCTAAATTTATGGATCGTTTACTAAACATTTACCTGTAAATTGCTTATCGGGTAACTTTTTTTACCGGATAAACATGACAAATATCAAAAATCTTACTCGGTAAGAACAATGATAAAGATGGAGAGTATTACTCGGTAAGTGAGGATGACGACTCTTACTCTAATAAATTGTTGCATATGATAACATTTTGATGTACTATAATTTTACCCATTAAAATAAATTATAATGTATATATTTTTACAGTTTTCTTCTGCTTTCTCTATTTATCTTTCAAAATCCCCCTTTTTTTTTTTAAGTTAAAACCACGTTTTATTTTCTTCCAAAAACCATATCGTGAATCTTTTATGTTTGATTCCAGGAATCCCTCCTTTTTAACAGTAAAGATTTCAACGAATCCTTCAAAATCATCCTGCGTTTTGGTTTTCAAAAAGCCACCCCTTACCAAATTCCAATAAACAATCATTTGGTCGCAGATCTGGTCAAAAACTATCTTTTTCTTGATACACCCACCTTCATCTATCTTTCTGTGTTTGATTACGTTCACATGGTTATCTGTCTTTGATTTTTTACCCTCTTAATCGGTGGAATCTTGATTCAATTCTTCTCTATCTCGTAAACAGCAGCCAGCAACCTGCGAGTCAATACAGAACCGCCAAAGTTCTTCCCATTTAGCGACTTCAATTATCCAATATTTCCCCCTTACAGTTTAAACGGTTTCTGGCTCAAGGAACATATTTCTGAATTTGAGTTCTTCAATTCGCTTCTGGTACGTTTCATCTTGTGTTTCTTTTTTGGTTTTTTTCTATAAAAGTTGGTGGTTGATGATTTCTTTGACGATAATGATGAAGAAAGATTGATGCATATCAACTGTTTGATGATTTCTTTGACTGGGACCTTTGATTTCTTTGATGTTTTTGTGATCCTTTTTTATAAGCACCAAATGTTTGATTAAGTTTTCCAATGAGAGTAAAGAATTTGGAGATATATGCAATCAAGATGGTGATACGATTATGTAAAATTTGAAGTAAATTTTCATGGGTACTCTAGGTAATGTAATTAATTATAGATGTAGCTCATTTGCTTTTAAGCAGTGTTCTAAAAGGCAAAAGCCACCATGACATGGTATGCTTTTTTCTCACGCCACTCTAAGCATGTGGCTGGCCACGGCCCTGTTTTTATAACGTACTATTTGATTTTTCTTACATTTTCAATGTATAAATCGCCCCTTGAAAAACGCTATGGGTCCTAAGCTTGAGGCTTCGTCGCCATGTTAAGTGACTTCTATGGCAACAGCAACGCTTAACAAGTATATCTATCATTAAGGGCAACTGTTTTGTATGATTAAACCATTCTTTCTTGGATCCTTGACAACATTTTTTCTCTTATAGTATGTTTGATTAATTGACATAAAGGGAAAATGTTTTTGTGATTAGATCTTTCTTCCATTTTCTGGTCTATAATGAAAAACCACCTCCTCCTTAATTTCCACCATTCTTCAAGATTTCTTTCATTCTTCTCTGTGATTAATTCGCTTGAAATGGCCGAATCTAGTGAGTTTCCATAGCCAGTAACTTGGGCTTTTCTTAAAATTATGGAGTTTGAAAAGCTTTTAAATTTTCATTCTGAGATTGTTGGATTTGGTGCAAAAGTGGTTTGTCGAGTGTAATGTGTATGCCATTTGCGTCTATGACGATAAAGCTAAGATACTTCGGCATGCTGGCTAGGTGTTGCATCAATTTGGGACAGCGTTGATTCGGGATATGCTACTTTTGTAATTGGTACAGATGTCATTGTTCATGTTATGTAGTTTTTATTGCATTCAGTAGTAGAATTGAATCAAAAGATGGGAGCATGGAATTTAGTAATGATATATAATTTAATTCATTATGCGTATGATTCTTTATCTTACCAGCTACACAATAATTCACGATCTGTCAAACAGGACTTATATCTTGATCCAATGGCGGAAAAGTTGCTGATGACTCATTGTTCAAGCTTCCTGTTGCCACCGCCCTTCACCAACGGCAAAAACAGCTCTTCTCCGACAACTTACGCACTTATCATCCTTAACCAACACCTCCCTCGCTTTTCACCTTTGCTCTGGGATCACGGTAATCTATACTCGTTCTTGTTCTATTAGTTTTTGATAATGAAGATAACTAATTGAACGCTATATGTTATAGGGTTTTTGATTGTTGTTATTGTTGTAGAGCAGCAAAAATTCGTCTTTGTGCTGATGGCGGAGCTAATCGTTTATTTGATAACATGCCGGAGCTCTTTCCTCTTGAAGACAATGCCTCCCTTATCCGTGAAAGGTTTCAATTGTTTCTTCCCCCAAATTCGTGTTCAATTACTGATTGCTTTAAATCAGTTATATTTTCTGCTTTTGATTTTGTTGTTCTTAAATCGCTTGTTTGATTTGCATCTGTTGTAGGTACAAGCCGGATGTAATTAAAGGAGACATGGATTCAATCCGACCCGATGTTTTAAGTTTCTACAAAGATCTGGTAAGCTGGCTATATTCGTTATCTTGCACTCAAATTAGGACTTCTTTTTCTTTCTTTAATGCAAGAATTGGATCATGTCTGATCTTGGCGTAGTGTGGATACGATCATAAAAAGTTTAAAGTGAATTGAACAGATAACGAAACCCCATATTGTTAGTGAATAGGCAAGCGGAAAGTTCAATCAAATAAAGGCTACACCTTGAGGCTCCTCCACATAAGTCGTCAGTTTCAGTCTCAGCGCCATGAGGATTTTCCTGGCTGATATCTTCACGGTCCCATGGGAAGCTGACCTAGGGACTGTTTGGTTGGTTTTCCATCAAGTCCTGTAAGGATAAAGTTGTCTATGTAGATTAATCTCTCTGTATAGATTGAGAATGTTTTTGTTTGGGAGGGTTTTTCCTTGATGGAAGGAGCATGTTTTTTAATTGGGAAGGGCAGATTTGGAAAAAACTTGGTTTCCTGCATAAAGTTCCCTCCTAGAAGCGTAATGAATGAGCCACTTTCTATATCATTAAGTTACTACCAAACAATCATGTATAGCTGACTGAATAAACTGCAACCATTAAGCTCATTAAGCTGTTAACAAACAGGCCCCTAGACCCACAGTTAGGAATTTTTTTTACTTGTGAGGTTGTCAAATCTGTGAATGGCTTATATTCTCGAGTCTTGATTGAATGCAGGGTACGGAGATCGTAAATAATTCTGATGACCAGGACACCACCGATCTACATAAATGCATTACATATGTACGTGATTTCGTGTCTGATGAAGATAAGCCCAATGTAAGTAGAATCCACTTTGCAACCTCAAACCCCATTTCCAAAGAGGGCTATATTGGGTTTGTTTGTTTGGTTTGGTTTGTTTTGAACGCTTGCAGCCTCTCTGGCTCAAGAGACATATTAACGTAAGTGTGCATACCCCCGGGCCGCACCTTTATATGAGATATATTGTGTTTGTTTGATCTGCTTTTGTTTAGGTTGAACTCTTGCACTTTGCAAATTTGAATACATGTGTTTTTTTTTCCGGTTTACAGTTGTGCATACTTGTTGCGGGAGCACTTGGTGGAAGGTTTGATCATGAAATGGGAAACGTTAACACCTTGTGCCACTTCTCAACGACCCGAATAATTCTTTTGTCCGATGATTGCCTCATCCAACTTCTTCCTAGTAGCCAACGTCATGAGATCCATATCCAGTCGTCTGTTGAGGGCCCACATTGTGGTCTTATTCCCATCGGTGCGCCGTCAGGAAGTTCTACAACCACAGGGCTCCAATGGGATCTCGGTAAGAAATTGTTTTACATCACCAATGCTATCATTTGTTTCGATCTTGAGGGTTATTTGTCAAATATCTAAAATACCCTCCAAAATCTATAGAATGTGTTTGGTATGCGAGACAGGACAAAACACAATCTTATTGCGTTTGCACACCAATTAGACCGGGACAAGACATAACTTTACCAAAATAGGTGGAGCAATAATAAGGGATGAGATATGTAAATTACTAAGGGATGAATATAACTTTATAACCTTCCATAGTTCTATCACCCACCTACCTCACTCTCACCAGGTCTTGTCTATGTACCAATCGCACCCTTATAAACCCAAATAAAGATCATCAATTCATTAGGATAGATAGCAATCAGCACATTGGTGGTTTTTAGCTTGGAATCTATTAAAAAAGATATATATATATATATATATATATATATACACACACACACACACACTCACATAGACACAGACAGACATCGGATTTAGGGAAAACCACAAAAATGGAAAGCTGAGGAACATCCTGCTAACCATTTATTTGTCCGGTATGCGCATGTACATAAAAGTAATTGAAAATGTTTCTTGGTTTTTATGCACTTGTGCATGCCGGAAAAAGTACTTTTGCATATCGGACAAAATGAATGGTTTCAAATTTCCATTTTTTGTGCTTTTTCCTAAACCCAACTCTATAGAAAACTGTGGAATGCCCTAATAACCATTTATTTGTGGTTTTTCCTGAAACCGGATATACATATGGCAAATCATATAAAAACTGTGAAAACCATGTGAACATGCTATGTTCATTCAATATTGTTTCATTCATGGAACGTCAAGGAATGTTTTGCATGTTGAAAAAACATAGAAATACATTTATACTTGAAACACATACTCATACCCACACACAGCAAAACGTGCAAAACAATAAGAATCATAGCTTAAAATCAAACTCATTGGATATTTTGGTTGATTTTCACACATGTTTCACCTATGAACCGTTTTTACAGTTTCTAACTTTTAAACAGTTTTTATATGATCTATGGTCTATGTATATTGCAATATTCATAGGAAATCTAAAAGGGTATTTTCAGATTCATTTGAACACAATCTCTATGATGTTACAGATGATACGGAAATGAGATTTGGTGGTCTTGTGAGCACGTCGAACATTGTCAATGGAGAAATAGTTACCGTGCGATCTGATTCCGATCTTCTGTGGACGATCTCTCTTAAAAAGCAGCCATGAAAATGAAGAAGAAGAAGGCAAGCTCCATGATTCAAGAAACCTCATTGTTTCAGTCTCTGTTTGTAGATTTACAATCCATCCATCCAAATATCTCTTCTTGTTTGCTGGGAATTATGACAACAATTACAATTACTTGCTTTTATGTAGATTATATATACAGATTTTAAGCCAAAACTTCAATACTTAAGACTCCATTTCTTCACTTGTTGCTGAAATATGTTGCTTTTGTGTTTGTTTTTGAACTTATTTTATTTCTTATTGATAAGAAGTGGTGTTATCGCATATGGAATAGTTATGCTACTAATTTTTTGAAAGGCAAAAATTGTATGAAAAAGTAGCGTACTTTGACTTGATTTCTATTTTTGGGTTACGTACTTTTAAAACTTCCATTTTGGTACTTAACATGTAAAGTTTTAAACATTTAAGTATTCGGGTAACCGGTTATCATGCTGATGTGGCGAGTTATATGGTATCCAGCTCAGTATTATTCAGTAACAGGGACGGACCCAGAAATTTTTTCATATGGTGGCACCATATAATTAATATAATATAATATATATCTAAAAATAATTACAAAAGATATGGTTTTTATTGTACCGATAAACAACTCCTAAACTTTTACCCGACTCGTCTTCATCTTTTGAAAACGGTCAATATATACCCAAAAATAATTACAAAAAGTATGTTAAAGAAACAACTCCTAAATTTGTCCTCGGCGTGTCTTCACGAAATGGTAAAGCATTCTCCAACAAATATCTACAAACTTCAACTGAAGCATTCAATCACATGTGGTACTCGGTCTTCATGAGTTCTGTTTGTTTACGAAAGGCAAGAGCAATTGATTGGTTTTGGTTAACCAAATCTTCACATTTTTTAAGTGATTTATGATGAAAACTATTAACCTCACCCTCATGAAGCTTTAAGTCTATCTTTTTTACTCCAACTATTAAATCCTTTCGCCACAAATGCACCTATCCCATGATTCCCACCTTAGTCTCTGAACAAGTAACAAGGCAAATAATATGCTATGTCTACTAATCAAGTAAACAGTAAACATAAAAGAATGATCAATTTGTATAACCTAAATCAAATAAGTGATTGAGATTTGAGTCTGAGTCAGTACCGATGGCGAGCGAGTTGAGTTCCAATTCCAAAATCGAATCGATTCTCTTTTCTCGTGGTCCCTCCCTGCTCCCTGGTCCGGTCGGTGGTCGGTGGTCCCCCGCCTGGTTGTGGTTGTAGCTGTCGGCTTGTAGCACACAAATACACAATGTCGCTCAATCGCTCTCTCACGCCTCAAGCTCTCACTCGCTCACTCGACAGTCGACACTCGCTCACGGCTCACGCTGTCTGTCACGCACGGTCGCTGTAACAAGGTGATTTGGGGCTTTACCGCTTTAGTTAATGCCTTAATGAACCATTACATTTAGGGCTTTAGCTAATGGACCATTAGATTTGGGGCTTTAGTTAATGGACTATTAGATTTAGGGCTTTAGTTAATGGACCATTAGATTTTATTTGGGCTTATTTTTGCATTTTATTTGGGTTTTAGTTGCATTCTTAGAATTTTAGGAAAAATACGGTAGCATTTTCCGAAACGATACGGTAGCACTGTTAACAAATCTAAAATTTTTACCTTTCGGAGGCGAAATAATACGATGGCACGTGCCACCCATGGCGACACACTAGGTCCGGCCCTGGTTAGTAACATAGAATTTTTTAATCTAAAATTAATCTTCAACCATTTATCCGAATACTTAAATTTTTAACACTTTATATCTTAGATACCAAAATGAAAGTTTTGAAAGTACGTAACCCAAAATAGAAATCAAATCAAATTACATTACTTTTTCATACAATTTACCCCATATAAAAAACAGTAAGAAATTTGAAAATTGGCTTCACCCAGGTTTGTATCTTGTAAATATAAAAAAGAGTAAAAATTCAAAAATTGGCTTCGCCCGGGTTCGAACCGGAGACCTTCAGTGTGTTAGACTGACGTGATAACCAACTACACCACGAAACCTCTTTGCTAGTTGTTTCGAGAAACATTATATATATACACTACATGTATATATGTATGTGTGTATGTGGCCTGTATATATATATGTATGTGTGTATGTGTCCTGTATATCTATATATGTATGTGTGTATGTGGCCTGTATA